ATTAAATACGCCCATACATGGTCACACTCACAAATCAAAACTAAGATGACGTCATTAGTTACTGGAAATTTCCATGGGTTGTTCATTTATGAAGATCAGCCGATCATGTTTCGTTCAAAGTAACATTTCAGACTTATATCGGAACGGACCTGTAAATATTAATAAAGGCATCGAGAGGTTTTATTCGAAATTATCCAGAAAGCAAAGAAGATGAGAAGGCCTGCCCTCATTTATCGCATAAACAAATTAAATATAGAACTGTTTTTAGGTCAAACCAAAAATAGAAAACGGCCCTTTTCGATTTAACTTCCGCGTTGTCGTTGTCCTTTAGGGCGGCGTTCCCGTGCGAAGCAGAGGAATGTTTTGTCTGTTCATCATGGAATGATACAGTCTTTAATGGTAGGTCTTTATATATATTTATTGACTTTTCATAATTCTGTGATATCAGTTATTAGGATAAATTATAGACGCAGGCTTTCTAAAAAAAACCCTCTAGTCTAAATCCATATCAAATATAAACATGAAAATAACAGTAGAGTGTACTAACAGTTCGGTGTAATGGCTTGAGTTTGTGATTCATTAATTATAATAGAAACGATTATCTTTCCTGAGCTCATCAAGCAGTTTTTCAAATTCTATAACAGTTTGGACATTAATGACATGTTGCGGCAAATTGTTCAAAGGATCTACCACCCTGTATGTGAACAAATTCTTCCTGCTTTCAAGTCGACATCAATTTTTATAGATCTTCAAAGAATGGCCTCTGGTTCTTCTAGGAGTGTCCATCTGAAAAAAGTTCCCAGTTACCCTGCTGTCATATATACTTTTAACTATTTTGAAAACATTTATCAAATCTTCTTTCTTCTATGAACAAGTGTTGGAAGATTGAGTGTCTCCAAAAGTTGGGAATATGTTAAGTTCTTGAAACCATGAAGAAGCTTTGTTGCTCATCTCTGAACATTTTCAATCAAATTGATATCTTCTATTTTGAATGGATTCCATACACTTCCAGCATATTCCAAATGGGGTCTGACTAAAGCTTTAAACAGTTGTTTAAACATTGATTCGTCTAAATAAACAAAAGATCTTCTAATAAGTCCAAATATATTGTTCGCTTTGTTCACCATTGAATGAATATGAGTTTTCAAGTCCTCATCTATTATGACACCAAGGTCCTTTTCGTGAGTTACATTTTCTAACTGAATCACTTTGCCTTCTGTTCCCCACACCGAATAGTTTCGTTTTCCATGGCACAATTGCCTGGCATATTTAAAGTTTACCCTGAAAGAGATTCTCCTTGTAAAATACCTCTCTCCAACTCTCCATCTTTACATTCTTTAAAATTGAATAATGTAATGGAGATGTTCTGCTTGGCTTCCTCAATAGCATTTCGGTTGGTAAAGTATGCATCTTCTACTTTATCGACAACACCTGCGATGTAAATCTTGGTCAATCCAAGTAATGTCACAAGTCTCAAATGAGAACAAGGTATACAACAACAGAACCAACAGGCAAACTAACGAGCATCAAACACATCCAGCTTCATATCACACAAAGGAATAGAAAATTTCTCATTGAGATCATTATGGTGACCATAAAATTCCTCATAGTTTTCGTCAACTTGAATCTTTTGAATAAAAGTTATTTGATCATGTTTAAAAACTCGCTTCCACAGACAGGGTTGTACTAAATTCCGGAAAAACGACACGAAGCGACCCACGCGTCGCTACATATGTTTATACCAGCTTTCTGTAGTGTTCTGATGGGCAAACTTGAAATTTACGTTATTTGTATGATTAAAATGGTAACCGCAAATGAAATTAAGTGAAAAATAATTATTAAATATTGTAAACATTTTGGCGCGAAAAAATACGAAACTGAAGAATAATTCTAAAAGCTGACTAAATATTCGATTAAATACGCCCATACATGGTCACACTCACAAATCAAAACTAAGATGACGTCATTAGTTACTGGAAATTTCCATGGGTTGTTCATTTATGAAGATCAGCCGATCATGTTTCGTTCAAAGTAACATTTCAGACTTATATCGGAACGGACCTGTAAATATTAATAAAGGCATCGAGAGGTTTTATTCGAAATTATCCAGAAAGCAAAGAAGATGAGAAGGCCTGCCCTCATTTATCGCATAAACAAATTAAATATAGAACTGTTTTTAGGTCAAACCAAAAATAGAAAACGGCCCTTTTCGATTTAACTTCCGCGTTGTCGTTGTCCTTTAGGGCGGCGTTCCCGTGCGAAGCAGAGGAATGTTTTGTCTGTTCATCATGGAATGATACAGTCTTTAATGGTAGGTCTTTATATATATTTATTGACTTTTCATAATTCTGTGATATCAGTTATTAGGATAAATTATAGACGCAGGCTTTCTAAAAAAAACCCTCTAGTCTAAATCCATATCAAATATAAACATGAAAATAACAGTAGAGTGTACTAACAGTTCGGTGTAATGGCTTGAGTTTGTGATTCATTAATTATAATAGAAACGATTATCTTTCCTGAGCTCATCAAGCAGTTTTTCAAATTCTATAACAGTTTGGACATTAATGACATGTTGCGGCAAATTGTTCAAAGGATCTACCACCCTGTATGTGAACAAATTCTTCCTGCTTTCAAGTCGACATCAATTTTTATAGATCTTCAAAGAATGGCCTCTGGTTCTTCTAGGAGTGTCCATCTGAAAAAAGTTCCCAGTTACCCTGCTGTCATATATACTTTTAACTATTTTGAAAACATTTATCAAATCTTCTTTCTTCTATGAACAAGTGTTGGAAGATTGAGTGTCTCCAAAAGTTGGGAATATGTTAAGTTCTTGAAACCATGAAGAAGCTTTGTTGCTCATCTCTGAACATTTTCAATTAAATTGATATCTTCTATTTTGAATGGATTCCATACACTTCCAGCATATTCCAAATGGGGTCTGACTAAAGCTTTAAACAGTTGTTTAAACATTGATTCGTCTAAATAAACAAAAGATCTTCTAATAAGTCCAAATATATTGTTCGCTTTGTTCACCATTGAATGAATATGAGTTTTCAAGTCCTCATCTATTATGACACCAAGGTCCTTTTCGTGAGTTACATTTTCTAACTGAATCACTTTGCCTTCTGTTCCCCACACCGAATAGTTTCGTTTTCCATGGCACAATTGCCTGGCATATTTAAAGTTTACCCTGAAAGAGATTCTCCTTGTAAAATACCTCTCTCCAACTCTCCATCTTTACATTCTTTAAAATTGAATAATGTAATGGAGATGTTCTGCTTGGCTTCCTCAATAGGCTTTCGGTTGGTAAAGTATGCATCTTCTGCTTTATCGACAACACCTGCGATGTAAATCTTGGTCAATCCAAGTAATGTCACAAGTCTCAAATGAGAACCAGGTATACAACAACAGAACCAACAGGCAAACTAACGAGCATCAAACACATCCAGCTTCATATCACACAAAGGAATAGAAAATTTCTCATTGAGATCATTATGGTGACCATAAAATTCCTCATAGTTTTCGTCAACTTGAATCTTTTGAATAAAAGTTATTTGATCATGTTTAAAAATTCTCAGAAGGAGTAGAATATACCTAGCACAACTACAACATTCAGGCATTAAGACTTGATATTTCAAATCTCAAAAAAAAGTACTGAACAAACATTAAATGATAAAGCATAATTTGTTTACAATTTTTTTCAGCCCACATGGTCTCTCTGTCAACTTTTTGATACAAATTGCTACTAGTCATAAACAACTGACAGGATTTTGACCAGATTTAGTCAGAAGTATCCCTAAGGAAAGTCCAAATTTTGTATAGTCACAAGGGGTCTTCAGGGTGGGGCCAAAAAGGGGAAATTTTAGAATCCTACTTCTGTATGAATGATTGGATTTTGCCCAAAATTGGTGTGAAGCATTGATGGGTGAAGGGTAATCAATATTGTATAAATGGTGGGTCTCAACCCCCTGGTATGGAATGGGGAGGACCCAATAGGGGAAAGAGAGCAAATTCTTTGAAATCTTACTCTTCTTGTGGGAATGATTGAATATTTCCCAAAATTGGTCTGAATCATTGATTGGTGAAGTGGAATAAATTTTGTGTGAAAGTTAGTCTTGGCTCCCTAGGTTGGAAGGGTGGGACTCAATGAGAAAAAGGATCAAATTCTTTGAAATCCTACTTCTCCTGTAGAAATAATTGGATTTTGTCTACCATTGTATTTTTTTTATGTGAAAAGGAATCAATTTTCTATCAACCATGGGTCTCTGTCCCTCAGGTGGGAGGGGCAGGGCCCAATAGAGGAAATGGAGCAAATTCTTTAGAATCCCACTCCTCCTGTAAGAAAGATTGGATAAAATTTGGTCTGAAGCATTCTTGTGTGAAGGGAATCAATTTTGGATATGGTAAATTGTGGGTCTTGACCCCAATCCATCATCTGTAAAAATGGCAGGATTCTGTATCAGTTTGGTTTGAAGCGTGGATTGTCTGGATGTCTGTGTAGGGACAGAGGGTTGGTACCCACGGGAGTCTATTTTATGTTGTGTGCTTGGATATCTAGAATTCCTTTAGTTTTGATGAAGCAATTACAGCAAAACCAAAGCCAGTTGATAGATAAAGGCCCACTGGGTCTGTTTTTATAGAATTCAGGAAGTCAGTTAGCATCTTGTTATGATAAATGTAAGAAGACCTGTTCTAAACCCCTATGGAAAACATATCTTATCTTCAGTCTGTTTTCTATATTCATCAAGAAATACATTATTAATTGATTTTTTTTTATTTGCAGGGTCTCTTAAGGAATGATTTTCACTGGGATTCAAATTCATCTCCAAACAGAAATGAAATGGTACATGAAAGTGAAAAGAGTTTGGAGGAACTATTTTGTTAGTACAGACAATGACCAGGCCACGGTTCCTCGAAGAGTGGTCATGTCATAATGAGTTGTTCAATCTGTAACTAATGGTCAAATCTCGTTATTAACCTTGGGTTAGGCACTAACAATGGAGAGGCAACTTTCAGACGCAAGTGAACAACAAGGTAATAGTCGTCCAGATGATCCTACAGATGATATGTTTGGAGGTAAAAATGTTTTGCGGATGGAAATTCCAATTCAGAATATAGAAATAGACCAGGAGAAGGGAAAACCAAGATTAAATAAGAAAAATTTCAAATCTGAGTTTTTTGAGAAAGTGATGGCATTAAGAAATTCTGGAGATGGAGTTCTAATTATAAGAAATCAGAACTATGATGGAGTAGATAAAACCAATGACCCCTTGTACAAGGACCAGTTTACTACCATGGTGAGTGATGGAATGCAACAAATGGCTACATACAGAGGAAAGGTGGGTGAATTCCAGAGCTGGTACCAGTCAGTTTGGAAAGGGGATGGGAAATGGCTGCTCTATTATATTAAAGAAGGTCTACAGTTTACTTTTCCACTTGAATCAAAAGTTTACACTGTAAATGAGAACAACCACAGAAAAGTTGGAATTGAAGAAATACAAAGACGCTTGCTACAATCAACAAAAACACCACCAAACTATCACCCTAGTGTCACACATGTACATTGTGATGAAAAACATGGAAAATTGAGACTGGGAAAGAAATGTTCCTATCTGCATGAATCTACAAATATTCAGCTCAAGTCTTTTAATGATATCAATAGTATGTGTAAAAACATCAGAGAGTACACAACAGCATTTTGTCAAAACAAAAATGGAGGGAGCATGTATTTTGGAATCGAAGAGAAACAAAACTCTGAAACGAAAAAAGGTTCAACTTGCAGTAAAACTCCTGTTGTTTGTGGAGTTCAATTCAATAAAGATGATGCTATTCGTCAGGAAATTAAGAAGACAATGTCAGAAAAGATGCTATGGATTAGACATAATGGAGAAAATGCAGATCCAGATGAAATATGTCAATATTATGATGTACGATTTCATAATGTAGATCCTGAAAACAGATCTAAAAAAGTTATTGAGGTTTCTGTGGCAAAATTTTATGGATGTGTGTTTTCTGATGAACCCAAACCATGTTATCTTGATGGAGGAGAGATAAAATACTACACGGTAAAGGAATGGGTACAGATATTGATGAAGGACCACCTGAAGGGCTATAGTACGTACACATTGTATTCAATTTATTGTGTTGCTATACTTCTACTAGGTCATAGTGGGTATGCTACTTACTTAAGACCAGTGATGAGACTGATACTACCTCTATAAGGTTTTGTACATTTATTGGTGTCCAACGTCTCCCCATCATACATTATGTCACATTCCTTTCCAGCGTAGTTACAGGTTGGAGCAGATATCACACCCGTGGTACATGATGTCACATTCCTATGTACAATCGTTAGATCAGAATTGTAGGTCTCCTGTATAATTTATTAGAATGAACCTTAGAAATAATAATTCCTTGCAGTATAATGTGACTGGGCCTGATGTATAGAAGCAGTATGGATATGGGGGTTGATGTATCGCACTGATTTCTGGTTCAGCTTGGTACATTGTAGAATTGTCTTCAATACTGTTGATCTTAAAATCTGTGTGAAAGCATTGTTGTTTTATTTGCGGGTCTACCATCACACAAAGAAAACAAGACCAGTGAAAAAAGTCCACAAAAGCATTTAGGTTTGTTTAAGAACATGTTGTAGTATATTTATGTTGGAGTGAGTTCCATGGGGCTTATGGTTTTCTTTGGTACATGATGTCACATTCCTACGTACAATAGTTACTGGTTAGATCAGATGTGTAGGTTCTCCTTGGTACATGGCGTCACATTCCTACTTACAATAGCTACTAGTTAGATCAGATGTGTAGGTTCTCCTTGGTACATGATGTCACATTCCTACTTACAATAGTTACTGGTTAGATTAGATTTGTAGGTTCTCCTTGGTACATGACGTCACATTCCTACTTACAATAGTTACTGGTTAGATCAGATGTGTAGGTTCTCCTTGGTACATGATGTCACATTTCTATGTACAATAGTTACTGGTTAGATTAGATTTGTAGGTTCTCCTTGGTACATGACGTCACATTCCTACTTACAATAGTTACTGGTTAGATCAGATGTGTAGGTTCTCCTTGGTACATGACGTCACATTCCTATGTACAATAGTTACTGGTTAGATCAGATGTGTAGGTTGTCTGTGGTACATGACGTCACATTCCTATGTACAATAGTTACTGGTTAAATCAGATGTGAAGGTCTCCCTTGGTACATGACGTCACATTCCTATGTACAATAGTTACTGGTTAGATTCCTACTTACAATAGTTACTGGTTAGATTAGATTTTCCTACTTACAATAGTAGGTTCTCCTTGGTACATGACGTCACATTCCTACTTACAATAGTTACTGGTTAGATCAGATGTGTATGTGTACACATTCCTACTTACAATAGTTACCCTACTTATAGTTACTGGTTAGATTAGATTTGTAGGTTCATGATACTGGTTATATCACTCCTTGGTATTCCTTCCTATTTACAATAGTTACTGGTTAGATCAGATGTGTAGGTTCTCCTTGGTACATGACATCACATTCCTACTTACAATAGTTACTGGTGTGTAGGTTCTCCTTGGTACATCAGATGTGTAGGTTCTCCCTTGGTACATGACGTCACATTCCTACTTACAATAGTTACTGGTTAGATCAGATGTGTAGGTTCTCCTTGGTACATGACGTGTTCACATTTACTATGTACAATAGTTACTGGTTAGATTAGATGTGTAGGTTCTCCTTGGTACATGACGTCACAATCAGTTTGACTCTATTACACAGTATTCTTAATAAAAAAAGAACTTTCATGCCATAATCTTCAATTGTGACAATCAAATAATGTTATTGATATTATTGAAAAGCACTGTTTGGATTTTCTTTTTTTAGAAATTGATGTAAATTTCTCTTTGTTGCTAAGTATGTATTATCCCTTTATCTAGGGTCTGATTACAGTAAGAAAATGACCAACAGTTGGCCAGCTTGAATTTTGTCAATTTCTTTGTTATCATTCCTTCTTGAAGCTCTTGATGGATTATTCTCTAGGTCCATAAATATAGGTTTCTTAAACCCCTTTCTTGTAGAGTGTCCAAATTGGGGGGGGTGACGGGTAGAAAAAAACATTAAAAATTGGTTAGACTTTGACTGTTTACTCAAATTACACCAACTAGTACAAAGTAGAAGACATTGCTTGTTCACATGCCAATATTGTATGCTCCCATATGTATGAAAACAGAGGTAAAAACCAACTTAGCATCTGCATTACTGATTTACATAATGATGTTGGCACATCCATCCAAATGAAATATGAATACCTTCATGTTGTATTGAAGACTTCTATATAAAATGTTACAACGAGAAATAGTGTTATCAGTTCCATTTCATTGAAAATTAAGCCTTCAAACTTAGGAACTATAAAAAATACTTTGTAAGTATGCATATATCAGTTCTGTTCTGTCTGCCAAAATGCTGGGACAGATGGACAGGTTCTAAAACTGTCCAAAGAACTGAAGACCGCCCACAAGCCTCTTG